CTCGGGTTCTATCGGTTGCGTTTTCGGACTCTGGTTCACTAGTTTCACTTGCTGGATCCTTGTAGACAGGGAGAATTCCAAATCGATTGGTAGGTGAAACTGGTACACGGGAGTCAGGTATAATGGGGGACCGGGAGGACGCAACTTTCACTCCTGGTCGTCGGAAAAATCCTTCCCTTCCTCCTTGATAAGTTCTGCCAACATTGCGCGGAATTGCGGATTCTTAGCGAGGTGATTTGGGCAGTTGCGCTGAATATGCCCAGTCTCTCCGCAGTTGTAGCACACAGGGCGAGGGCGGTTGGCCGAGGAAGTGGAAGCGGCACGGTCAATGTCCATGGGGACGGGTTCCTGTGCGGCCGGAGCTTTGGGGGTTGGTGGGTTGTTCACCGGGTTATTACCAGGATTACCGCCGACATTCCCACGGTTGAAATTCGAGGGGCGTCCCCAATTATTGGCTTTCGGGTTCGCCGTTGGGTTCTGAGCAGGCGTGTGGTATGCCGCGGGACTGGTGCGAGGCTGCGACGTGGAGGTGGTGCGGGTACTCGTGTTGTGGAGGCGTAGGCTGTTGTTCATGGCGTTCCATGCCTGTTTGTGCCCGTCGTGCTTGATGGCGGCTTCCTTCCAGCCCGCATAGTTGGTAGGCATCGTCATTTGCCCGTAGATGGCCTCGACCACCGGCTTATTAACCCCACTCTTCATGAGCCGGATTAACATGGTCTCATCGTAGCCGGCGGTTTTGTTGAGGGTATCGAGGACCGTGAAGTACGCGGTTGCAGTACTCTGCCCCTGCCTCAGCCCTTCCATCTTGGCCTGTGCAATCTCCACCTCAGCACCTCCCTTGAAGGCGGAGAGGACCGCCGCCTCGAACGCTACCCAGGTGGAGTATGCGCCCTCTCCACTGCCGGAGCGCATGGCCTGTACCACATTGTTGGCCCAAGCTTGCGCGGGCCCTTCCTTCATATAGGACAGGCAGTAGGTGATCTTTGCGTGGTCGGTGTCGTAGGCGGAGTTGCCCTGGTAATTGAGCCAACAATCCGACAGGAGCTGGTCGACCTTGTCGGGGTCCCCATTGAAGTGGGTGGGGGCAGCAACGCGGGGTTGCTTGTTGTTGACCTTGAGTTCCTTATCAGCGGCCGCGGGCACCTGGGGCCCGCTGGCGGCAGAGGTAGCGGCAAGGTCGATGCGCGCGTTGTTGAGGAGCTTCAAAGCCTCCATCATCGTGTTGTTCGCCATGGTGCGTTCCTGCGTGGCCTCCAACAGGGCCGCCTTCACCGTGAGGAGTTCGGAGTGTAGCTCAGCGATTTGCGCCCCCAGGGTCTCGCTGTTGGAACGGAGGGCGGAGAGGTCGCCGTCGATATGTTCGTAGTCATCCAGGATTTTGCTGTATAGCCACAGGGTTCTGTCTCCTAGTTCGGCAGCCTGGAATTCCGCTTCGTCGAGCGGGTTTACGCGGGGCATTGTTCAGTCGAGTAGTCGGTAGGGGGATATTATCCTTTTGTCAGCACAGCGGCTCATCGGGTTATTATACGACTGAGGCGATTGAACGACAATAGAGGATTCGAGTTGGGGTCGGGTTAATGCGACGGGGGGAGCAACTGGAGGGTAGACAAGGATAGTATGAGGCACTGTCTAGGGTACAGGGCCTATATATACTAAACGATCATAACTGCCAAGTAACAGAAAGGGGGTTTCCAGGGATAAATGAGACGGGTAGGGGTTGAGGAGAAACCAATTGTAGCTATATGATCGGGTTTTAAGGGTTAATGCGGAATAAATGAAATAACCCGAATCATGACACTGGTAGCGCCTAATACTCACATGAGTACTCACAGGTATTGTCAGCCACTTGGTGTACTTTATTCAAAATTCCATTAAATGCGCGTGGGCCCCTTGGGGCCCATGTGGCACTATACGTAAATACATTTGTGTATGCTAGCTGTCGTGAGAGGGAGGCACGGGACTTGGTGTACTTTACTGTTCCCTTTCCTTCTACAAATTCATGCAATGTGGAGGCTCCGTGTTTGATCCCTGTAGGTAGAGTGTTTTTGACACTTCTAATCTTTATTTGCATTACTAAGCCTTTGTCTTCTTTACACTCTTTTCGCCGTACAACTAGTCATGCCTCCCCAATCCCATCACTGAATCATGAAGCAAGCCACCGAATCGTCCCACTTCATCCTCCAGAATCTCAGTGTAATACTACAGCCTGTTAAGTGGATTTAACCAGCAACCCACGTAGAATTGATGAATGTCATACTTGGCTTGCACATCTCGACATGAACTCACAAGTACCTGTCACAGTCAAGATTTAAGCGTCCACTCTCGGTAAGATGAGAGGGATTGGGTAGTGCTTGTAGAGGTCTCGAAGATGATGGAATAAAAGGTTAAACTACAACAACGGACTAGCTAGACTACTTATACTGTTCAGCAAGCTGTGTGAACTACTGCTATATATAACTGTACAATAACCCTTTCACCTGCGTTGTATCTGCACAATAACCCGTCTGTGCCTGCATCAACTATGCTTGTCATGGGTTATGAAAAAAAAAATGATCCCCGCGTATGAACTGTTTTGTAGAGACGTGTTTCTATTGTCCTCGTGCCTTCCCTGTTATGCGATCCATAAATATCCTATCCAGCCCGGTCTTACATCATAGGGGTTATGTTATCAGTGCTAATGTATTGAGCACTTAGATAGGTGTTGTCATGATTAGATAGTATCCAATTGTGACAAGTACCTGCCTTACCCGCGGGTAATGACTCACGGATCTGAGTCATCCGTGGGAATAACTCATACAGATCCGAGTCATCCGTGGGAAAAAACTCATAGGGATCCGAGTTTGGCTTTTTTCATCACAGGTACTCACCGCCACGGATCCAGATCACCCGCGGGTGCACTCGTGGGATGCCTTAGGGCCCCAGCATATAAGGTGTCAGATTAACCAAGGCACAAGTAGTGGTCGGCTGTATCGGTACCAGGGGCGCCCGGAGGGCCTTATGATGTTTAACGCGTCGTAAATGACAGAAAGAGGGAAGAGGAAAGACACCGCCACTGATGGGTGATTGGTTTGGTTCCGCTTGGTTCCGGGCCGAGGTCCGCCGGGGGTTTCTTGGGCGAGCGCGCCGCGCAATCAATCATAGAAATTAATCCTCAGGAGGGTGCACTTTTGATGACCATTGAGCAAAAGTTCGAACTGGTTCAATTTGAACGCAGTGAGATAAAGCCCCTACTTTCGATTGTTTTCTATTCCCTTGGACAGTCTCGGCAGTTGAAGCTTATATCACGAAGGATTTTTTTTCGCATATCAAGGCAACCCCAAGATCGATCGAACGACGGCATTACGTGGGCTCAATCTCAAGGACAAAGTCCCGCTGGTGAAAACTGCACATCATCCAGCATGCTCATATAAACACCACTCGGCGGACCCCGTTTGACTCGGGGACGGGACAATATTCGAGGACGGTGATCTTTTTGGTTTCGTCATTCAGCAGATTGTGGTAAGTATGAAGGAGGCTAGCCCGAGCAGAATAAATCTCCTTCTCCCTGCGCTCATCTGACCCATAATTTTCCTTTTCAAATGCTGTACGGTACAGTCGAAGAACCCCGTTCGACTGGGAGACGTGAGCGGAGGAGTGTAGGTAAATTCGTGTGACTCACTCAAATCAAACCCAGGGTCAAAGATAAGGGAAAGAGTTTTGTTGGTGCGCGTCCGCCCAAGTTAGCATGGTTGACAGCAAGTGGAGAGTAAATATTACAGCTGTTTCCGAAAACCTTGAGACAACTTTTTTTTTTTGGCTCGCACAAATTTTTGATGGAGTGCTAAGGATTACCACATTTGGTGTTGCCAAGCCCAGGGCGCCGCCTTGCCGCTGTCACCAGATTTTTCTCTGTGCGATTCAAGCAAACACTAAAGGAGTTTAGCCTCAGAAGACCCATCGGTATGAGTAATGATGTTTTCCATACCTCTGCAACACTCTATCCCACAAATAAAATAATATGGAGAGAAAGGGCTGGCCCGGCTGGGTTGGGTCCATCCCAAAATGGCACTGATCCGAGCCCAAACCGGTAATCCTTAGCACTCCATCAAAACTCAACGTGTGCAAAAAAAAGTCGTTGTCTCAAGGTTTTCGGAAACAGCTGTAATGCGGAAGGATCTCGGTCCAGGGGCGGGAACTTGCAAACGGGATTCTTCCACTTCTCCCCCGTCTTCTAGCTTTGGACTGAGTAGTGAGTAAAACGCAGCCTCAGATAGAGGGAACAAGTTCTGCTGTGTAACAAGCGAGGAACGAGCTGGTATTGTTACAGTGTCTGTCTAGAGAGACTAGTTCCGCTGGTGAACGGTGCACAGCAGTTCGTGATGAAGATATTAAAACTGACATGCGAAGGACTCGGTTCGACTCCGGGGCGGGATGTGAGGCCGAATGAAGTTTTTTTATTTCATTTACAAGTCGAGGCAGAACTCAGCTTCATGTTGTGTGTGTTTCTCCATCTCAATATTCTGATGTGCGTCCCTCGTCACAAACTCTGCGATGATTTGACACCGGAGAGCAGGCTCGTTGAGTGCCGTTCGTGTGAGGGTGCAACTTCTGCGGCTACATTAAAATGGAGAGACAGTCAGCAGTCAATTCATGTCTGCAGCTAATTCAATGTTCCAGGCATCGGTACAATCCAGCATCCTGTGTGCGGTCAACTAGTATTGGATCGTGATCAGCCGGGGGCAGTGGGGAATGGGAACATTTCGCGTTTTCAAAGAATACTGGACGCTTGCATCAATGATATGCATGTAGGTAGGACACTCATATTGTCGTGAAACTCGAGGAAAACTCGACATTAACCAAGCCAATCATCGGAGTACTCAGATCATGAATCATTTGGTATAATGCGGGTGAAATTAGGGAATAAGTTGTCCCAATGGAACTCGGTGGAAATGAACCACGGATCCGAAGGAGCCGGGGTAGGACGAGAACTCGGGTACATTTTGTGCCTCAACCAAGAGAAAGTCCCACTGGTGTATGGAACACCTCCGCTGAAGTTTCGACTATATTGAGGTTTATGTGATGCGGAAGGACCCCGTTCGATTCGGGGGCGGGACTTGCATCTTCAGGCCCGCTTTTCTTTTAACGCGAGGCAAAATTGATGTACCTAGAGCGTCAACAGACACCAAGCAGCTGAATCCGTGTATGAGGGAATCGTTCTTGTTACTATTCAACTCGAAGCATCACCATACAACATACGAAACGCAACTAATGGAACAAGTCCCGCTGGCGCATGATGCACGTCCGCTTTCCATATAGTAGTAGAAGGAAGGACGCCATTCGAGGGGGCGGGACGTGTACTTGAATCCTGGAAGTATTTTTTTCTCATACCTTGAGGGAACGGCAATGCGGCAGCCCCACGACTCATTTTTTAATACTAAACCTACCCCCGCGGAAGACTCTGGTATATCTTGGGCCGCCACCAAGAGAGAAAGTCCCACCGGCGTGCGGCACACATCCGCTTAAGTTTCCATTGTATTCAGGTTATGTGATGCGGAAGAACCCCGTTCGATTCGGGGGCGGGACATCACAAGTTTGCTGTGGTCTTTTATCACTCGAAACAAAACTGTACCCGGCCAAAAGTCCTCAAGTCGGTGCTGGTATACTTCGTGCCCAAACCAAGGTAGAAACTCCCGCTGGTGCGCGGTGCACGTCCGCTCAAAGTAGAGCAATGGTAATGTGTACCAATGCGGAAGAACCCGTTCGACTCGGGGGCGGGACATGATGCATGAAGGTCCTCGAAGTTTTTCTTTTCTTTGTTGTCATACCTTTAGGGAATGAAAACACTTCAAGTTTTCGAAGAATACTGTACGATTGAATTAGTGGTATGTATGTATGTAGGGAAATCATACAGTATCGTTGTGCAACTCGACGCAAACTCGCCATTGACCAAGCCAATCATCAGAGCACTCAAATCCTTTGATATACATAATGCGGATGAAGAAATTAGGAAATAAGTCCTGACGCACATCGGCCCAATAGAACTGTGGAAATGAACCATGGATGGGAAGGAGCCGGTACGTATACAATATACATCACCATATTCAGATCTTGTATTTTATTTTCATACTCGATGAGTGTGGTATATCCTGTGCCTCAACCAAGAGAGAAAGTCCCACTGATGTATGGCACACATCCGCTTAAGCTTCCATCGTATTCATATTTATGTGATGCGGAAGGACCCCGTTCGATTCGGCGGCGGGATATCAATATTCAATGACGAAGACCCTAGCTTTTTTTGTTCTTTGACAAAACTTGAACAGGTTACTTTTTTCGTTATGATTCGAGTTCATTGCAATCCTTGGTTCAGTCGAATACAGGGAGAGTCCTGGGATGTCGTTTTCTTCGGTGACCTCACACGAATTCCAACTTTGTTGGCCCTGAATGACGGTACGGAATCAGGGACCCGGATATTCATTATTCCGCTGCGTTCGCCAACATACAGTAAGGCCAAGGTAAGGGGTGATTGTTCCTGCGGGTCTCCGTGCGCCTGCAATAAATGCCGCTCTCACGCTGGCGTGACAGCAGGATCGCCGTTGACTGTAGTGTTGATGTCAGTCAGTATATTCAGTCAGCAATAGTCAGGCATCCAAACCATCTGAGCCGTATATCCTGATTGATTTAATAATTCGATGCATTCCCGCCGTGAGGGATCCGCTTTACACACAACGTAAACCCAGCTATGTGAAATGAACTAGCATCCACATCACAACCAATGTACTAGGCCGCCTGCAGAAATCTGTATTTAATCCAACCTACGTAGGATCCCAAGTGGTGCGTGCGGAACAACAGAACGTTAACAGCGGAAGGGAAAAGTCACTTATGTTGCGAACGGATTGCGCAGATCGCAACTCCGAAAATCTTCGTGATCCGCAGGGATCCGCTAGGCGCTAGCCATCGTAGCTGCTGGGAATCACACGAGAGCAAAATTTGGATGCGTCGAATCTCATAACTTCAACCGCTGTAAGGGTTGTGCAAGGGTGTCCCTCCACACTCCATCCGAGCGTCCCTTTAACTCCCCGCAGCTCCATTCAAAATTCAACCCGAGATTATAACTCCTTGACTAGTGATATTCTGGCTTTGGCTTGGCCTGAAAGCCATGGCTTTGGCTTTCTAAAATCCGAAGCCAGGCCAAAGCCAAAGCCATGGCTTTGACTGGTTTTGACTGGCTTTGGCCTGGCTTTGGCCTGAGCCATGGCTTCTGGCGGGGAATTGGGACAATATTTGGCTTTGGCCTGACTAAATCTCAGGCCAGGCCATCGGCCAATTGTTGGCTTGGCTTTGGCCTGGGTACCAAAGCCAAAAAGCCATGGCTTTTTGGCCTGAGGCCAAAGCCAGAACATCACTAACTCCTTCGAGGATCTTGCCGCGGATCGCCGATCAGCTTGATGGCGGCTTGCTTCCGTGACCGCTTTCCTTCCCTCCGTAATCCTCTCTCTCTCTTCCCTCTCCCTCCCAAATTCACAGCCAGATCAACGCGTCTGCCAAAAGCGGACATCGGCCTTTCCGAAAACCTGAAACACGCGACAATCTCGCCGAAATCTAGCTTATAACCCGCGTGCCACTCCGCGAACGTCCACTCGATACCTTATGGCGACTCTGCCGCGCCGCACAAGGACTCCAACTTCAACTTTCGATGCTCCCATGGAGTTAGTCGTGCTCCCAAGCATCAGAGAGCTCTTTCCGGAACACATCCCGCGCTTGGATGCCACCGTGCCCAGAAGTCCGTTCCCGCCCCCGCAGCCACACCCATACTCCGTGCACCTCCTGAGGCCATATCCAGCGCAACAACAGCTTGTATTCCCTCGTTCTGCTCCCGCATACTCCTTCTCCACCTTTGTACTCAAGCCCGCAGGCTCCGAGTCGGCGGCGTACTCGTCGTCTGGGTCTTCGAATGACGACGCGGACGATGCGGAGGTTGCAGGCGGTGGTGGGGGACGAGAGGAGAGGAAGTACATATGCCCGACGTGCGGGAAGCGCTTCGACCGTCCGAGTAGCCTACGCATCCACGCTAATACGCACACCGGAGCTACGCGTGAGTCGCATTATCATATTCAATGTTCATGAGGTAATGTTGGTCCAGCGTTCAAATGCCCACACCCCGGCTGCAGCCGCGCGTTCAACGTCAAGTCGAACATGCACCGCCATTACCGTACCCATGTTCAGGACGCGGAGCGGCGGGACGGCGCGCAGGATAAGGGGAGGATTCCAGTTCCCGCGGTTGAGTCCTCCTTCCACGTCGCGTCGCAGGCGTCCTCTTTCCCTCCGTCCTTAGCTGCTGCTCGGTCCACCGCATTTGTAACTGCATCCTCCGCATTCCTCACACCACACTTGGGCACGTACTCCGCAAATCCGTCCGCTCCCAGTCCCGGGTGCTCCCATGCTCCCTGGAGCGCCTCACTTCCGCCCTCGCCTGCGTGTGTATTTCCCCGCACACCAGCATCGCCGCACACGTCACCTTCCCCTACATCAGTCCGCGCGTCATCTTCACCTTCAGCCCACGCGTCGCCTTCACCGCCACTCTCGCCCATCTCCGTGTCTTCGTGGGGCCCTGGCGCCGCCGCCTCGTGGGTCCCCGTCGTGATGAGGCGCTACTGCGAGAGCGACGTGCGCAGCGGCTAGCGTCGCTAGTTCATGTTCCCATTGCAGCAGATACAGCCACTTGCCTTGTTCGGATTTCCTCCACGTTGCGTCCATCTCTCCTCCTTGCGTCATTTGGAAATCCCTCTACCGCCTGCACTGTAATTCGTTCACTCCGTCTTGTACCATATTCATCCGATTCCCGAATCTGCGTCATCCCATCCCCCCATACAAATTGTTTGTACCAGCCCATCGAAATCATCTGTACATCTAAACCGTCTGTATATCGCATCCGAGTTGTAGCCACGGAATAAATATTAATAAAGAGAGAAATACAGTAGAGGCGTGCCCGAAGTATTCACAATTTCCTCCATTCCTTAGACAGGAGGGTATAACACGGATTCGACCTGAGGGGAAAAGTCCCGCTGGTGCGCGGTGCACATCCGAACTAACTATCGTGGATATAGGTTTCCAATCCGGAAGGACCCCGTTCGATTCGGGGGCGGAACATTCTAGCTTCTTGATACGCCTTTTCTTTGTGGTACGATTCAGTGGTTTGATGGGCCTTGTAATAAATACTAGTGTGGGGTGTTTTTCAACGTCGCGTTATTACATGCACCCCAGGAAAAGCCATGACCGCACCGAGAACAGGAATAATAGATGGTACTTATCAGGCGGAGTGAACTTAGGAGAAGGAGTCCCGCTGGTGCACGGCGCACGTCCTCTCTCAATATGTAAGAAGGTGATTATGATGCGGAAGGACCCCGTTTGACTCGGGGGCGGGACATGAGCGCGGAGATATATATATTTTTGGACTTCGAGTTAAGCAAGTGTACGCCTTCACCGTTTTCATCTAGACGTCCGTGATCGGGTCAACCGCACCGAGAATGCGAAGAAACAATAGTTGGGAGCTAAGGCAAGTTCGACGGTGTACGGCGCACGTCCGCTTTCAATATGTAAGAACGTGATAATTGATTGTGATGCGGAAGGACCTCGAGGCAGGACGTAAATAGTCCTACAAGAAGATATTTTTGTAGCTAAAGACTCCCCATCGCACTCGAATAAAAATGCTGGTATGAGCCTAGCCGCCACCAGCAGAAGGAGTCCCGCCGGTGTACGGCGCACATCTGCCAACGTAAGTGGTTGAATATTAATGTGAACGCGGAGGGACCCCGTTCGATTCGGGGCGGGACGTGGGTATTTGCATTCGACATTTTATTTTAAAACTCAAGACCTCACCATACCAGGCCGGGCCGTATTCGGCGGCGGTACATTTGCAGAAATCGTTCACTCTTTCTTGTAAGCTTTGCCATACCAGGAGGACTGAGTGGCGGGTTCAGGGCAGGCTCAAGCAAAGGGAACGAATACCGCTGGTGCATGGTGCACAGACGCGTTTGCGAGTGAAAATCTCATTCGCATGCGACAGCACTCGATTCGACTCCGGGGCGGGACAAACGCGTGGAAGATGAGAGAGAGGA